GACGGTGTATTCTCGTCATAGTTGTGCTGATTGGTGAACTTGTCCGTCAGCACTTTCTAACAAAATATTTCAGCCTCCTACTCGTGGCTCATAACGTCAAATTAAGATCTATCGAAACCTAAAGTGCGACATAATTGCCGACGCGTCATTGTGCATGCTTCCATGTAGAACGCCCTAGAGGAACTTAGTAATGCCCATTTCTAAAATGGCTCATATTAAAGATAATCTAGCGGCCCTAAAGGACTTTTTACACTTTAGATCTTAGGAGCGAGATGATCAGGTTGACACCTTCAAGAACACAGCGTCCACTGCTAAAGAGAAATTCATTAGCTGACAGTTATTAAAGTACTCAAGATTAGTACAGGAAAGAAATGCAATAATCCAAAGGAGTAGTTACCACTCACGAAATGCACCTCTGTGAAATAAAGTCCACTCGCCCGTAAAGAAAAGCTTTCGCCAAGAATACGGTACAAGTAGCGTTTTCAGTGCCAAACTTCAAAATTCTCAGAATAAGGACCGCCTTAGTAAGAAATCAATATTATACCAAATCTGGAAACGATCGCGGCCTGGTTCGTTTTCCTGGATGGGCGACGCACCTATATAAAAGAAGTTTGCGGGACCAACCATTGTAATTCATTTTTATACACAAGATGTGCTTTCTGCTTATTTTTTCGCAAAAGAATCAGGCGAACATACGGAAGGACTGTCGTATACATGCAATGGTGTTTATGTCAATATTACATTCTGACACATGTTTAGGGCCTGCACTTCAGGATAATCAGAAGTGGTGGCCCAGTTCGGTAAGGCGCCTATGAACTCGTAGATATTCACATCGCCACATTTTTCCCAGTTTCTTTGAGCCCTTCTGTCCAATGAGATTTTCGTTTATACGCAGTTTAGTTTTTAATATAAGGACACAAAGATAGGGCCATCGAAAAGCGTATATGTTTAATTAAGAAAATTTTCTGGAGGTTTATTTGCGCGATTTCGTATCTGCACCACTAAGGTATCTGCACCACATAAGTATCGGGAAACTAATCTTGAATATCAGTCCATTCAATAGTGCTGAGGAAAATCTTCCTGAACATAAAACAATAGTAGCCACATAGCATGCCTTCAATTATGTCTAGAATTTAAGCTCATCAGGGGTTGAGGAAAAGAATTTATTCACTCCAATCACATGGAGGAGGACACTTGACCACTCTTTTCACAAATTCTCTAATTGTCTGCTACCTATGGCACGTTTTCCGTGCATTAATTCGTATTTGGACTTTCTTATGGAGAAACAGACAATCAAATTAAGGATTATGGGGGTGGACGTCACCAAGAACTGCGAAGTGACTCAAAAATCGGGCAGGGTATCATCTTATTTGACACCATCAAAAAAAAGTTCGCTCAGAAATTCACTCATATTATGAATAGAAGACTGATTAAGACTACGAAGTATTCACTGCCTCAACCCAGGAAGTAGATTATCGATTTTCGTGAGAGCCATTTTTTCAAGAACTTAAAGGCATCAATCTTAGTCTCAGGATCTAAACAGGTTAACTTGAGGGCCCTTCTTCGCGAGCAGAGAAGCCTACCGATCAAAAGTTGCTTATATGTGTTGTGTTAGTAATATGTCGAGCACTTTGGATTTGATATTGTCAAATTGCAGATTCTAAGAACTTTAGTCTACTCGAGAAAGACTATGCAACTGTCATCTTGACAACAAGAACCCAAATATTGAAGTATGAGAATGATCATTAAATCATTTACTTCTTGAAGCATAGGCGAGGTGGAGGAGACGTATTACAATTCCAACTGGCTAAATGAGCAAATGGATTTTTGGAAATTGAATGGCAATATTCGATAAACCAGTATTTTTTTTGATTGCTCGCCTATGTTGAAAGGCTTTTTGATGCGAACAACAATCCCAGGCAGTATACAAGTATTCCTCAAATGATTTCAACGTGATCAAATCCAGGAGCAATATCTATAAACAGAAAAGTGCTATTAGGTACTACTGTGGTATTTACTTGTCTGATGCGATAATTGATTCTACCGGTTCAGCTCTCGATCTGGACTTCTCATATATCAGTAGAGAAATTGGATGCTCAATGCGCTCCCACTATTGCTGGAGCATAGAGAGATCTCAATGTACTATAGCATGTGGTGGAATCCTCTAACTCATTCACACAACTGGCTGAGAAATATATATTCCTTTCTTGTAGCACGATTATTCTATTGTCTTATACTTGTTTCTATGGTCAAAAAGTCAGCTTGATGTACCTCAGAAAGCAAGAGTAAGGAAATGATATTGATTAGAATTGAATTGTAACCAGCTCAAATTGACAGATGATAGTAAAACAGTTACTTGCACCCACACTCAGTTTGCGTCTCTTCAATCTGCAGAGCAATTCAAAATTGATAGGTTGAATTACCCCACCAAATACTAACAACGAAAATTTGGGAGAAAAGAAATAGCATGATGCCCCCTGGCTCTATCTACACTCTACAGACATGACTTTTTGAATCATCACGCCTTCGAGGCCGCTCTCTTGCATAGATAATTTGGATACCCTGTCTCGTCTTAGTATTAAAAATCTTCTTATGCCGCTTGGAGTCTTGTTGATTTCAAGTTGTTGCTGGAGGAAGTTGTTTGTTGAGCTGTTCATGTAAGGAGATGTAATCCATACATCTGACATCCATCGAATTTTATTGTCATACATCCCCTCTGTGGAAATTATCTGCTCAATGTATAAATTGTAGGGTTCTTCCATTTAAATCAAGAAATGAATTCCTTAAGTAAATAGCCAAGTTTTTCTTATAGAGAGAAATAATACTCTCTTAATTATTCTATAGTCTTGTATATAATAATCCACTATGGGGTCTGATTCAGTCAAAAGCGACTTCCTGAATTTCCTTTTGCTTTCAATCAGAAGATCTTAGAGATATATTTAGCATCCAGGTTTACAATGAGCTTGAAATCATTCCTGAGTGTAAATGCTTCCAGCTCTCATGGATGGTCACCTTGAGCTCATTGATCTCTCCCACAAGGTTTAGTGTTATCACTTAAGTAGTCTCTTTCCTGACTCCAACATCTCAAAAGCTGCGAGGCGCTATGCTTTATCTGGTGTTGTGTGTTGTGTGTATATAACATAGCCTTAATATCTCGAAAAGATATACAATCTGAAGGTTCCTTCAGAAAACTAAATGCATCGAATTATTTTGATAAGCAGTGGTTAAAATCTAACCGCACACTTTTAGATGCTGCTGAACCAGTAGGCACCCACATTTGGATCAATATTGTTGAAGAAATCGATTACGTGCAGTATCTGAGTAAGGTCCATTTTTTTCATCGTTCTTATTAAAAAAATTGTAATTAAAATCGTCTGCCGATTAAATTCAAGTGCAAGCTATTCATTATAATTTTTTTTGTTTCAATTCCTTGAGAATTCGATTTTTACGTGCGTTTTGTAGTTTTCTTGTATTTTCCATATCAGACAAGTCCTATGTTTTTGGTCAATTCGCGTCCCAAATGCAAAAGAATAAAATTGTAGATGTTCTTGAAAATATTCATTCTCGACCTAAACAGCACTCTAACATCTGCTGCTTTCATTATTGATGAGAGAACATTTCTTTTTTTTGCATTCGGTTGTGTCTGAACGCCCCAACATAGGTGGTAAACTGATACAACCGCTTCTCAAGAAAGGAAATCCTTAAAAACAGAGAAGTGATAATGTAGTTCTATTAACCGAAATTTGGAAAATCAACTTTACATGAAAACAAGAAGGACTGTGGTTTACATTTATTCCTGAGCAGTTAAAGTGTTAGCATGTGACATCGCCAGGATTATCAACTCCGAAGATAACCTTAAAGTTGAAGAATTATATGGAGACACATAAGACTAAAGGATTCACGATTCAGCACGCTGCTTCGGAAAGAGTGCTATAGAGAGGTAGACATTTCTACTTCAGAAGAATAGAGCAGTTAGTGTTTCAAGACTACTAGTTTCTTCTTAACTATTCCAAAAGCGCAAAAAAAAAAATAAAAAAGCGCTTTGAAGAGTTATTATTAGGAAGAAGTGTATATTGGGAAAATGAAAATAATTTGGAGTAAGATTCTTTTAAAAGATCTGAAGACGAATAGACCCCACATGCATTCAAGGAAAAGGAGCGTCCCACATATATCCAGTTGTAGGCAGAGATGAGCCGTCTGCTAACATTTCAAACTTGATTACAATCGTAACCAAGTTGTATGTAAAGGAAATACGGAAGTTCATTGAACTGCACTTTGAAGCAGAGTAAAGAAAATCGTAAGAAAGAGAAATTCAGGTTCGTTCATAAACGTCCCAAAAGATAGTCAACACTTAAAGAAGTAAGTGAAGAAGCTATTTCACTAGTCGAAACTTCGAATATAATCAAACAAAAACAACAAATAATGAAACCACGAATACAAAAAAGTCGTAAGTAGTTGAGTAAGCCTTATTCTCAACTATTGCAGATTGAACATGAACAGTTGAAGTTTCTCTCAAATTCGTAAATTCTGGCGTCTCAGCTGAAGTGATACTACTAGTAAACAATGTCACAAAAGTTACTTGTGAAGCCGGTGTGTAACTTTCCATCTCGTCACTGTGATTGTGGGACTCGCTGAGCTCCTTGGAAGATGAGTAAGAACCAGACAAGGAGAGATGACCTGTGAAGTGAGAGTTCGCACCGTTCTTTGTAGATGCCACCAATTCGACTTCAGGAGTCATCGAACTACAAAGTTCATCATTTCCATTGCAAATTGTCACTGTAACTCCCATCAGCTGGATTGTTGAAGTTGGTTCTAGCACAGGGCACTTAGTTGTGTAAACAATCCCACTTACAGTGGTAACAACATTCTCCATCACAGTAGAAAGCACGGTCTTCGAAACTGTGTCATTGTTCTCCCATGGTGAATTTCCCGTCCTTGAGGTTGCCTGAACAATTGAATTGCCGAGAGCCACCACGACTGCAGTTATTGTTGCTTCCAGGATGGGAAGAAAAGTGGACAGTGCTTCAGAGAATTCAGGTATTGGGCAATAAGTGGTATAAGAAGTAACTGTACCGTGAACAGTCGTAGTGACAACTATAGTCCCTGTCCTAATTCTGGTCATCAGAGAAGATATAAAGCCTGTGCTTTTGATAGTGTCAGGCATAGATGCAGAAGACCTAGTCAAAAATGTAGTAGACGAGCTTGACTCAGTAGACGCGCTTGACTCAGAAGACGAAGTTGACTCAATAGATGAAGTTGACTCAATAGATGAAGTTGACTCAGTAGACGAAGTTGACTCAGTAGTGGAGCACGACTCACTGGATGAAGTTGACTCAGTAGTGAAGCACGACTCAGAAGACGAAGTTGACTCCGTAGATGAAGTTGACTCTGTAGATGAAGTCGACTCAGTAGTGGAGCACGACTCCGTAGACGAAGTTGACTCAGTAGACGAAGTTGACTCAGTAGTGGAGCACGACTCAGAAGACGAAGTTGACTCCGTAGACGAAGTCGACTCAGTAGTGGAGCACGACTCCGTAGACGAAGTTGACTCAATAGATGAAGTTGACTCAATAGATGAAGTTGACTCACTGGATGAAGTTGACTCAGTAGTGGAGCACGACTCAGTAGACGAAGTTGACTCCGTAGATGAAGTTGACTCCGTAGATGAAGTCGACTCAGTAGTGGAGCACGACTCCGTAGACGAAGTTGACTCAGTAGACGAAGTTGACTCAGTAGTGGAGCACGACTCACTGGATGAAGTTGACTCAGTAGTGGAGCACGACTCAGTAGACGAAGTTGACTCCGTAGACGAAGTTGACTCCGTAGATGAAGTTGACTCCGTAGATGAAGCTGACTCCGTAGATGAAGTTGACTCAGTAGTGGAGCACGACTCACTGGATGAAGTTGACTCAGTAGTGGAGCACGACTCAGAAGACGAAGTTGACTCCGTAGACGAAGTCGACTCAGTAGTGGAGCACGACTCCGTAGACGAAGTTGACTCAATAGATGAAGTTGACTCAATAGATGAAGTTGACTCCGTAGATGAAGTTGACTCAGTAGTGGAGCACGACTCAGTAGACGAAGTTGACTCCGTAGATGAAGTTGACTCCGTAGATGAAGTTGACTCAGTAGTGGAGCACGACTCAGTAGACGAAGTTGACTCAGTAGACGAAGTTGACTCCGTAGATGAAGTTGACTCCGTAGATGAAGTTGACTCCGTAGATGAAGTCGACTCAGTAGTGGAGCACGACTCAGAAGACGTAGTTGACTCCGTAGACGAAGTCGACTCAGTAGTGGAGCACGACTCAGTAGACGAAGTTGACTCAATAGATGAAGTTGACTCCGTAGATGAAGTTGACTCCGTAGATGAAGTCGACTCAGTAGTGGAGCACGACTCAGAAGACGAAGTTGACTCCGTAGACGAAGTCGACTCAGTAGTGGAGCACGACTCCGTAGACGAAGTTGACTCAATAGATGAAGTTGACTCAATAGATGAAGTTGACTCACTGGATGAAGTTGACTCAGTAGTGGAGCACGACTCAGTAGACGAAGTTGTCTCCGTAGATGAAGTTGACTCCGTAGATGAAGTTGACTCCGTAGATGAAGCTGACTCAGTGGAGCACGACTCACTGGATGAAGTTGACTCAGTAGTGGAGCACGACTCAGTAGACGAAGTTGACTCCGTAGACGAAGTCGACTCAGTAGTGGAGCACGACTCCGTAGACGAAGTTGACTCAGTAGACGAAGTTGACTCCGTAGATGAAGTTGACTCCGTAGATGAAGTCGACTCAGTAGTGGAGCACGACTCAGAAGACGAAGTTGACTCAGTAGACGAAGTTGACTCAGTAGTGGAGCACGACTCAGAAGACGAAGTTGACTCCATAGTTGAAGTTGACTCACTGGATGAGCAACTTGCATCCCAACAATAGTCAGGAGCATCCATCTGTGAATAGCCCGTGCTTGCATCATAATTATTACATCCTGTAATGTAGTCATAAGACTTCTGATAACTCCAAGAATCACATTGAGACCAATCGGTAACCCCAGCGCTGCACCAGTCATACTGAATGGTGAAGCTGGGCATACACGTCGAATAGTTCTCAACCACGCGAGGAGAAATATTGACGGTGTAGGACCACTGGCCTGGATCTGTAATGGTATAAATCTTCATGTTGTTTGAGTAGAGCACGTAGGTGCCAATACCAAGAATCTTCAACTCGGTGAGAGAGGAAACCGACATGCTGTTACCAGCACTGAAGTTGATGTTGACATCCCAGGTACCGTCGGACTTCTTAATGGGGTTTGTAACAGTGATAGAAGCCTTAGGGAAGTTGGTCACTTGATGATGCCAATTGAAATTTTGGGAGGGACAAGCGCTGAAGGTATCTATAGCTATTGTGGTTGAAAGAACCACGAATGTACAGAGTAGTTTCAAAAGATACATGGAGGGTAGAAGTGAAAAAACCGATAAACGGATGATGACCATTTCAATACAGTTATTTATATTTGTCTCAGATTATTACAAGAATAGAAAGCGACTTCCATCAAGTGTATGTGGTTTGCAAGTTGGAAATAATGTGGAGAGGGCAAATTGCAACCATAGAACGCAGCCTGGAATCATCCATATGCATATGCGACCAACCAAGATGCATTAGCCCTCATGCATAATTATTTATCAAACATATCTTTGATTTCCCCCGTTGAACTTCGAATTTTTCATAGATTGCTGAAAAATAAATCCCGGTTACCCCAGCCCAACTATGCTCTTGCATTCCATTGGCTGAACCAGAAGTTTTGAGAGGACTGACAACTTCTACCATGCAGTTCTTCTAATTGAATGCATACATGGTAAAAAAGCCAACCTTTTCTACAGTTTTCGAATGTTTCATAATTCAGTGTTTTAGATAACACTTGTATTCAAGATGAAGGTTAGTCGATTTCAACAAAATGAGACAAATACTTTTATTAACATAGGAGAGATTCAGTAACTTGGCCGAGTTCAATGAACGTGCTTTTTGGAACTATTCTATTTTGAACGTTGTTCTTGTAGGCCGTCGAGTTTTCTGAGAATACATCATGCATCATGCATCGCTTAGCTGTATAGATGCACCGTGTCCATGATATGCAGGGTTAACCCGAAACGAGGTTTTACGCATTCTTGAGGTATTAGTCTATAAATAACAGATACTATTTTCTAGTATGGCCACCATGCTTTTTCTGTCACTGTAATCTCGCTATTATTCACCACCAATCGTCTAAGCACTCGGATCAGATAGGAATGATGATGTCGGTAGTTTTGCTATTGAAGTTTTTAGTTCGATGACGCAAAGGACTGGTTAGCAGTGATCTTCTACAACATAAAGGAGATAGCCGATCGCACACTTGCTTATGCTTGCATATTGAGAATCATAAGCACCCAATCCTAACCATTCAATATTTTCAAGTAGTTTAAATGATAGGCTACAACGAAGCCCAAGACTTGCCCGCTACGAATCACATTGCCTCGACTCACCTAGGCCTTTCTATGAGGCTTGTGATTCAGTAAGTATGATTACTCAGAAAATCCTTTGCACATGCTTGCAAGTAATTCACCTCAAAATATCGTGCCACAATAGTCCAGACCTCTGTTTATTGATCCGCTTCTGCCTTTGATGATCTCAGCAGCCTTTTTCCGTGTCCCCCCCGTTATCATCTTCCTCTCGTTGCTAGAGCTGAGTCCGTCATTAACTTCCAACAAATCGAAGAAAAGTTCAAGCTTCAAAAAGTTATTGTGTTGAGTTTTTTTTTCTAGTCGTTTATTCTGCTTCCTCTAAAGTGTTTACCTGGGATGATGCATGCATTGCTGAGCTTTCACGAAACAGGCATCTAGGTCAAGAACTTCTCCTCATAGTGAGAGTACAGATTTACGTTAATTGGAATATAACAGAGAGCATAAGACGGGCAAGATAAAAGAAAATTTCAACCAGAAAATTCTTGATTAATTATCGAAAGTGGCAACTGAGTCAAAGAGTTCAAAATAGAGGTGCTTAATTTTTCTTTCCCTTTAATTATTCTTCCTTTCCAATTATAAGGGAAATAACAGAGGAAGTAATATTATTATCGAAACTGTATTGAATTAGAATTTAACTGGTCAGAAAAGAGTTTATTTCTTCAATTTTCTAGAGCTTTACTCATAATTGCGTATATTGAAAAGAAGTAACACTAGTCACCCAGAAAAATCTATTGCATGAGTATGGCGAAGTGAAATCAGAAACGAGATTGAGATAACAATGCATTGCGGAGTTCATTTGAATATTGATCAGTGAATGGAAGATACGTAACTCAAACTCGGGCCAGAATAACTCGTGATTAACTTTGCAAATCAAGTTCGGCTTGGGAAGTGTATCAAGCACACCAAAAAATTACGAATACCAGTCCCCCCAGAAAGCCTAGAATTTGCATAAAGGAAACAGACCATTACGATTCACACAACAGAGTTTAGAGCCCCAAAATCACTATTCTCGACCTTTGAACACATTCAAACGTCGCAATTTTGTGTTCTACCAATTCTAGGAGAGGATTGGGGTCTAGAAATTATTCTTGGATTGTATGAGTAGTCAGTTGAACTTCAGGGGATCTGGAGTTCCGAACGCATCATGCATAATTGATTGAAAAATAATTCCAATTGTTCCAACTTAAAGATGTCATAATGTGCAATACCTCTTTGTTAATGTTAAACGTAAAGTACTCCTTTTGGTCTAGAAGGATCGGGAGGGGAATAACATGTGAGCGAACAATATTTTGAGGAGCTATGAAGAATGTTGCTCTATATCAGCTTACCTCGAAAGAGTCATAGTGGTCAAAAGATAAAACAAAATATTCAATTAACAGCAAACAGTTCTTCTTGGAAAAGAAATAGGGGTTCTATGGTTCTCAGCTCCATTCAATAAAAGTTTTTAAAGCAACAAAACGACGATCTCCTTCTGGAACTAACATTGTGTGGAACTGTTCGGAGGAAGCGTCAATTGTCTCAATCTCTGATGAACGAATGAAGAATTTCAAGCAACTGAAAATAATGCAGACATGCAAATGAAACAATCACATTCTACGAAAAATACTTATTAGAAGAAAAGAGCTCTGTGAGACAAGCAAATAACTATAGAATGAGAAGATATCTACCACTAGATATGGCAGAACACTTTGGATGTAGACAAAAAAGTTTGTGTCATACTGGATCACTTGAAAAAAGTAAGTTGCTTTTGTTGTTGTTGAGTAGAGCATTTCAATTACATCACTTACTGAAAAACTTGAAGTTTTAATAGTGCTTGCAAAGAGCAAGCAGGTGTATGCTCAATGCACTGAATAGCAATATGAAATACTTACTTCTGGTCGTTTTAGGAATCACTCCTGGGGGGCCACCAAGTAAAGTCGGTACATTATCATTTAATCTCTGAAGCAATTTCATTGCATAATCAAGAAAAAAAATAGTAGTCATTTGGTTATTCAAGAGAAATCAATAGTGGATGTGATTCTTCAAGCACTCACATTTAGCATCTTTTCCAAGACTTTGAACAACTTTTCTGATTGCTCAACTTCTAGACTTGTATGGCTTGCAAGAGGTCATGTTTCCTTGAGCGTGATCTTGTATTGCAGTTGAGAGTCAGTCTTCAGTCGATGTGTATCAGTTTTGAGTACATCTATAGATTGTTAAGAAGGCTAAGCAATTAAAGATGTGAGTCTTTTCGTACATCGCTTGCCTCAACTTACGACATCAGCTCTGCCCGCTTAATTGGAAGTGTCACACTAGGTCGCATATGTACAGTCTGGGGTGACTAAAGAACGAAGTGTCAGACGGCAGATGACACTATCAACTTTGCCCGCCTATCTCACTATTCACAATATGTAGTATTGAAGAACCCCACCTTTGGAATTCTTATGGTTTTGATCCCTTGTTCTGTGAGGCATTACGGTTGCTCTTATTCAGTTAAGTTGATTCTTATGATGGTGGTAATCACAAGTTGAGAAATCCTGCATCGTGCTGAAAAACTCAGGAAGATGACCTGCTAACAACCTCTTCATGGAGTCGGCAACTCATAGAAAGAAGGTATGTATTTTTGGGATGTTTGTACATAAAGCACTCGATCTTTACATTCACCACTGCACGACCGCGCATGACGTACTAGCAAAAATGAAAAGGCGGCATTTAAAAAAATAACAAGGAAGCGAGAACCCATCTTGATACCACACATTGAGAGAATTAGAGTAGACACTCCGACCGTTACGAGTGGTACCTGGAAGGGGCAAATTTACGAAAAGAGTCAAAAGTGACGGGAACCGTTTGATCCAATTACGCCCGATTCTTATTGTTCTGCACCATTCCAACTTTGCTACTTCAATTCAACAGATTGTCTTTGTTGGTTTGAAATTCACTTCCAAGGAATTAATGACCTAGGGAACAACCAATGGGTAAAAAAGTAACAACTTTCTCTTGTAGAGTATTTTGTCCTCAAATCTCGTCATAAGACCAAACGGGATCCCATAACGCGGCATGCATGATTAGAGTTTCGTAGTTATCGATACCTGAACGCTTGACATCAAAAGAATCAGGGCATCTGTGCGCTCAGGCGGACGGCTGCCGTAGGTACAAAAAGTGTCATATCGAGATAACATACAGGATCCAAAGTCCAACAAGTTGTCTGAGGATACAAAATAGGTAACGCAACTAAGAACAGAATACAAAAATTCAAGAAAAGCCTGCTTACCTGATAAGAAGGGGGAAATGACAAAATATGATTTGATCTAAAGAATGCCAACAGAATCTCAATTTGGAGTTGCATACTAAATTACGGGGAATAATGGTTATGATTCGTGAAATATTTCTGACGAGCTGAATAGGGCGAAGATTGCCCGGTTTGCATACTTATTCCAGATGTTGAGAGATTTCCGTATATGCTGGAAAACAAGATCAAAGATTTCCAAACGAAGATCCCAATGTCCGTTGCTGACAATGTACAAAGGATGGTAAAGTTAACTACATCAACCCGTGTATTCTGGCGATAGCAGTCGCTAGTCAATACCGGAGAGTTTATTATGGAGGTTCGTAACCTATCGCCTTGAATCCTTTAAATGCTCTGAACCAGTAGTGAAAGCTGTTACCCGCAGCTCCCATGGTTCTATTCTCAAACCCTTTATCTCGGCTTGTCCTATAAAAACCTTGCCACAAACCACCATATTTACAACACGAAAGTAAAATTTGTCTACGGTCTGTGTGCTTTCAGCAAAATGACCACAAATTTAACAATACGTGTGTAATCAGCAACTAAGCGTCGTCACACAAAAAATTCGACATTTTCCTGTGTAGTCGCAAACAGCGAGCGACAACCTTTATTCTTGTGGATTCTTTGGTCACCACATCGACTTGTTGTACTTTTTCATGGTGATCTGGCCTTCAGTAAAGGAAGTGTC